CCCCAAAACCCCAAAACCCCAAAACCCCAAAACCCCAAAACCCCGGCTTGTAAGAAATATATTGAAATTTGAAAATTAAGCTGAATTAACTGGCTCACTAGCATTGACGATATTTAAATGCGAATTTGAATTCGAAATTTCTGACTCTCTGATATTCCCCTCTTGTGAAATAGGATCTTCCTCTGGATCTAGCAAGAATGGCTTTTTGGGGATATGCTCCATTGAATCAAAGTATACTCATCTCGAGCTCTCTACCTGCTGATTCAATTCACATAAGGAAATAGCAAAATGAATGGGAGCTGAATCAATAGACATTAGGTTAATGTCTACTCCATCGCTCATCTCTGAATTGTTGATGGCATAATACAGTTTACAAGGGGAGCTGAAGAAAATAGGCTCGTTCTCGCTTCCAAGGAACAAGCTTAGATTGTCCCTAGATCTAAATCTGATTCCATGCTCTTCATTTGAATTAATCTGGTTTTGCAAATTTCTATTGAAAATACTAGCATTTTGAGGTTGAGGGAAGATATTTCTCTGTTCATTGTTTTGAGAGGTGTTCTCATCCATTTCTTTCCAAAAAGGCTGGAAGCTTCTTGCTTGCCTAAAGTCAATAGCAATCCTAAGAATGTCTCCACTGTCAAGAGTGTATTTTAACCTATTGGATCTTGACAAAAGAGAAGACAACTGGGTTCCACTGCTCCAGAATGAGCAATTGTAGGTGTAAAACATTAAAGCATTCTTATCTTTGAATGTATCTTCAAGGTTGTTACCATCACTTGGATTTCATAACCCAATAAAAGCTTTACTAGTCACATTTGCATTCTGAGATGGGTGCAATTTTACCTCAAAGTAATGAATTCCATGGAGTGGAAGAGGATCAGAATGAGTAGCAGTCACATATTTATTTTCACAATTGTCTGATTTCTGAATCCTTTTTAGAAGGATGCTTGATTTTCCTTGACGATTTTCATGGGATGTTGCAATGTCAGGATGGCAGTAATCAAATTCTACTTTCACACCTCTTCTTCTAAATTTCTTCTGCTGAAGATTACCAATCTTCTCAGGAACATCTTGGTAGATTAGCGCTTCAAAAATATCGTCGTCACTAAAGTACCTACTCTCTCTAATAACTGTAATAAGCTCACTCCTACTAATCAGAGCAAGTCTAATATGTGGGATCAGGTCTTTAATTCATCTCTTAGAGTGCTCCCTACATACAGACTGTGTCCTCTCACTTATAGTCTCTAACTTAAGCGATTTCTCTTCTTCTTCCATATCAGATTGGAATTCGACCGAGGTTTCATTAAAATGGATCTTTTTCTTCTTTCTTGAAGTTTTGTTTGGTTCTTCCTTCTCCTCTTCTTCCTCTTGCTCACTTTCTTCCTCTTCTTCCTTTTGTTCGCTTTCATCTTCCTCTTCTTCCTCAAGTTTTTCTTCTTCAAGCTCGTTGATAGCTATATCTGCGTACTCATTCTGAGTACCGTCAATGCTGGACTTGTTCATCCTGCAGAGGCTAATAGGGTTAAGCTTAGGCACTGGAGATTCAAGCTCGGCTATCCGATCCAGGATGTTAAAGAACATCTTCTCAGAAGCACACGACCTGTCAGATTTGAAGATCTTGACCAATGCAGACTTTGGAAGTCTTATCAAGTCTTCAACGACATTGTCATTCTCATATAGTTCAGGCAGAGAATTCTGAATCTTTCTGAGAATTTTATGAGGGAGGTCTTCCTCATCGTCTTCATTGACAGATCTGTCATCTGAGGCTGAGAGAAGTTCAGTCATGACTTCTGCTTTCAGAGATCCAGCGTGTTTGACGATGAGTTCAGATTTAGATGATCTAATCCTGAGGGATCTGCAGTCATCTTTCATGTTTGGGATACATTCCTCGTCGCTGTCTTCTGGGTCTTCTTCAGTCCAGATTTCTCTGAGAATTCTGCAGATACTATCATTAGAGGTTTTTTTTGGGATTAAGTCTGACAGGAAACTAATCATGGAATCAAAATCATTTGTGCAGCTCACCTCTTTATAGAGTTGGCATAAGTCAAGAGCAGTGAAATAGTCTGAATCCAGGATACTCTTTCATGAATCCATGATGATTGACATAGTGAAATAAGATGCAATTTTAAGAACTCCAATTAATGTACGCAGCTGAATCTGAAGTTTTCCGGTGTAAACGTATTGTAAGAAGATCCGCATTCATTCGGGGTCGAAATAATCAAACTTAGACTCATTAATGTCCTTGTTAGCCTCTTTCCATCCTACACTGCAGAAAAGAGTGTTATAGTAAGGGCATCTAGCAGCTAGGATAATTTTGTGAACTTTAAAAGTTTCATAATTAGGATCATCTTTCTCTTCATATGGTGCTAATGAGTCTGAAACAAATATGGCTTGGCTGGAAACTTGGTTCAAAGTTTTCTTCACTTTAATAGTATAGTCCGATAGTTTACTATCATTCAAAAAGATACCAATATCTTTAGAGATGCCAGCGGAATGGTCTATCTCTTCAGCACTCCCTCTAATAGGAATGGCTAAGCTTTCGGCATACCTTGCTCTATTAGTTTCGGGGCATGTTGAATTTGTCCCAATTCTAAACCCTCTGTAGCCATGGTTTCCCCCATCAGTTTCTCTTTCGCTCCTCGAAGAAGCTGGTGAGGATACAAGATTATTGAAAGCAGTAGTAGATGGCATATGTCTCTCTGTTGAAGAATTACTATCATTGTAAGCACTCATTTGCTGAAACTTAGGTTTAAAATATTTATAATAATTTTCTAGTGCTGGACCAAGGTTGGGGTTTTGGGGTTTTGGGGTTTTGGGGTTTTGGGG